CTAAACTTATGATTTACCCGATGAAAAATTCAAAACAAGGTAAAAAAATATGTTATTTGCTGTCAGTGGCGTAGGCCTAAATCTGTGCCGGGAACGGGGAGAGGTGCTGGAAACTACATAACACTGTAGGGGCACTGTTCACCATACAGATGCACATCTAATCTACATGTATATTCGCACCCCTGATTTACATCAAACTGAATATTAAAACTTTTGTCATTTTTCTCCCCTTTTCTCTTTACTATTAAATGCGTTTTGGTTCATGGGAGGTTTGAAAAATACCCCAAAATACGCCTTTTTTCTCGCCAAACAAAAAAGTATGGAGATGATCCATTAGCCGATCCCTCAGGCCAAACAGTGAGATATATACACTCCTATCCCCCGGATTTCTGTTCCCGTGTGCCTTCATTCGAGCTGTGTCAGTGCACTGGTTGTGAAGGAGGGCCTTGTTCAGACTGGTTGAGAAAGCAAACGCCAACTCCAATTTCGGAGAAAAGCACTCTGCTAATTCATTCACATTTCGATGGTGAATTTCGCCGCTAGTGATTCATGACGTCATACATGTGTTATATCACAAGTTGGTATTTGCGCCAAGTATGACCATGACGTCGTTGAATCTGTGCCTCTTCGGATCAGTGGCTCTTCAGGTCAAGTGGCTTGTCCATGCCCTCATTTAAATCGAGCTATAAAACTACAGTTTTATAGCCCCATGGTCAAGTCACCATACCATGAGCCTCGGCAAGTAATCTTGCAGGACTCTTCCTGGATATAGATAGCAGGCTCTTTTCATTTCGATTCATTTCAGATCAGAGGTGTATCCCGTGGAAATGGAGCAGGATTCAACTCTTCCCTTGTGACATGTAGATGTTTTGTAATTAGTATCATTTTTTCATTATATTCTTCTGTTTTTTTTTTTAACAATTGACACCCCTGCCATTTTTTAAATGGTACTAGCACCTCCTTTTTGAGAGGGATTCCTTCTGGATGCCAGAAAAATTGACTATCATGTCAGAAAATATCCACATTTTGCACCCACAAAGAGCCGGATACGACATTTTGGAAATGTCAGGTAATTATTACCTGAGTTTGAAAATTTGTGGAAAGAGAAAGTTGGTTACTACGGGCCACGAGAATTCCCGATTACATGATTAAACAGTTGCTTTTGGCCCAAAGCGATTTTTTTTTTAGTTGAGTTGAGTTATGTTGTTGAGTTGAACTGTTGAGTTGCTCTTCAGAATTGTACGTCTTATAAGTTGAGGGGAGGATTTTGTGCACGAAAAATTTAACAGCACGTACCGTTGGGGTACGGTACATATTTTTCCTCTCCTGGAAATCATCATCTGGGGATTATTTTCATCAAAGTCAAACTTTCATCAGGGAAAATCTATACCTCTAGTCAACTTTGAAGTGACAGTTGCTAGTGTCCACGTAATAAGCAACAAGCCACATATTTCTTGGTCATGTACCCAGTCTACAAAGCGTACGTTAAACACACCTATAGTTGAGGCCACCGGAGTAATGAGGTGGTCATCTTGCGCTACTGTTTTATTTCTCCATGCTCAGACGTAAATGAGATACAATCCCGAACTGCTCTATACGCTGTGGAGAGGGTCCCAGTGCGGTACGTCCCTGGCTGGAAAATGTTACAAGGCCACTTAAGACTAAAGTGCAAATCTTTGCATTTTCAGTACCAGGGTTTAGAACTATGGTTAACTCCAACCATCTACAGTATATCACCATCCAATCGTCTCTGAAATGACCCCATGCCTTCTGCATCACCTCCACACAGGCTTTGAACACGCAGGCCTTAGGTGTCGAGGGTCTGATCCTGTACCCCGACCCAGCAAACCACGCCATCATCAGTGACGGTGACATTATGGAGGTGTACCCGGACAGATGGTGCTGTTGCGGAGCGCAGAGGGGGACTGTTTGCGCCTGTGACGCAAAAGGCGACCCCGTCACGCCTGGTCGCACCGCCTAACGTAATGGCATCTACTGTAATAATCTTGTTTACACTCATCCACACTATCCGGTTTTGTCTTAAAGTTATAAAGAGCATCATATACACATTGGAAAGAATCCAGAAAAGCAAGATCTGAGTCCCCGCCTGGATTTAGTCTATAGTTGAGATTAAAGTAAATTACAAGTACAGGCTTTAAAAAACTGCACTATTGAATACACTGAAAAGCCCCAAGGAAACATCAATTTTTACACCCCAAGGAAGTGTGAAAAGTTCCACAAAACGATCGTCTAAGAAAAAATATAAATCGTTTTACAAAACAGCTGTGGCAATAGTTGCAAGCAGCCCCTTTCCCAGAAAATATTGCTGTGTTTTCTTTTCTCTTCAGTGTTTTGAAAAAAGGAAATGATTTTGATATGATCGTGAAAAGTCATTATTACAACAACACGATAATCACCAGCCACTACAAAATAGTAGTCAGTGTTTGCAAACGAAAAGGAATGGTGTACTATTAAGGCCACATTGAGTAGCGCATTAAGTATTGCTACATAACGCAGCGTGGTAACTGTTGTTTACACGCACAGCGCGGTTTGTGCTGTTTCACTGCACGATAAGAGTTGTTTCACTGAGCAATGAGAATACGGATGTTTCGCAATAGAGCGCCCCCAAGAGTTTGCAACGTGTTAGCCAACCACAATGCGCGAAATCTGTCGTCCCAATGCACGTTTGGAAAGGGTCGACATATTTCGCGTTGCAAACTCTTGGAGGCGCACTATTGTGAATCGCCCATATTGTTTGGCGGCGCGGTGGGTGTTGTTTTTCCTTACGATTACTTCTTTAAATATCACCTCAGAAAAGGCCTAATATTTACTAGCATGTTACTTTACAGGTATTGAAAGAAATTCCCCACCTAAAAGAGAAATATCGTGTCAAAAATTGACCTTTCATGAAAACCATATGACTGACTGTCATTACAAAAGAAAAATTAGTGTTGAAACATCTTCTGGACACACTCAACAATAAATACTGCTATACATCCGCAACTAAATATTATCTTACAATCATATGCCCCTCCTTAAAGCCTTAAAGATAATGGGCAAATGTACATTTGAGGGGTAAATACGACACCAACCAAGGCTAATGATATCATTTTTGCAAACGTTGGTCCCCCATACGAATATTTTGTACATGTATTTATAGTGGGTAAGAGCGGTACAATACTGCCACTCGAAAATTTCCTTATATTTAGTCAAGAATTTTTGGACCGATGGACTAGTATTGGTGATAATCCGTGCTGGCGAGGTTGAGGTGACCGAAATAAAGGAAGATGCCCTACTGGAGGCATTAAAAAGTGGGGGAGAGGGATATTTCAGTGGAGGCCATGTACATGTATTTGATACAAAGGTCCATCTGTTTCATCATTAGTATTGCGAGCGTATAATGCAACTTATGCCAAACGGGGCACTTAAATTTTGTTTCCCATTTTGGCTGTTGAGGAGAAATGCTTAGCAATATATACCGGTACGCATTTTTAGGGTTTCTCATGACCAAAACGCGGGAGGATCAGCAACTGGAGATGGGTGACCTCCAATGAAGGACGGAGGAGTGAACACGATGGTGTGTTTATTTCCAATGTGGACGAACGTTGTTAGGCAACACACAACAGTCGTTTATCACAAAAGCACGAGGGCATGAATAAACATTTAACTGCAGAGCATGCTCTGTAAATATACCAAGAATATATCGGACGTGTCACACTCGGGCAACAAGTTAATTACAGTCTCATTTTCCTGTGCCTTACGAATTTGCAAATGTTTTCAGGAAGGCAGTTATCACCCTTTTTCTTTGCGCACATCAGAAATGACAAGATCGATATTTCTTTGTGTCGGAGCACTGTTGGACTATTCATCAACGAGGCCGTACGGCATTAACGGTGCAATTTGGATAATAGAGCAACCAAGAACCAATGATGGTGCAACGAAAACTCCCTCCTCGTCAGCGAAGAAACGGTTATAGGAACTACAAACGTAGAAGCGGATGGAATGGTGGGATGAGACTGGAGCTCCGCCTCCATTCATAGCCCTCTTGTCCCCCACGACACTACCGGCGGATGCAGGGGGCTAACGGGGTCCAATCCCTTGATTTTGTTGTTAATGTTGTGATGTTGTTTTAAATATGACAGGTATTTTATGGACTAGATGTACACATGTACATGTACTTCTTTTCCTCTCATCCAAAAGCGTGTGAAAAGCCCCCACCAAACGATGGTCTAGATCATCAAAGGCAATAGAGGTACAGAAAAAACATTCCCAACTTCTCTGGCCCAGTCTTTAAAATGAAATTTGCCCCCCCCCCCGAAAATTGGTTCTGGTTTCACTCCCCATCCCAGGTTTCCAGTATGACGATTCGATTAATTAAAATAATAAATAAATGAAAACTTGTAGGGGTCGTATTCTCGTGTTCGGTTGAGGACAAAACAAAAAGATGAAATGGCTTGGACAACGGCGACAAAACATAATAATCCCCATGCGAAACTTTCGAACCTCCTTGCAAAAAAATCCTAGATTCACCCACCCTGCAAGACATTGACAAACAGAAGAATGGTTGAAGTTAAATCGCGGCATTAATTAAAAATAGACTTGTTTCAGTCAAGTGTGATATTTTTCTGGCTGCTGATATGGGTAAAAAAAAAATAAAATAAAAAGAATTACTGTCATTTCTTATGAAATCAATTGTGTGTGAAAAAGTAAATACTGATATTGATAATGGAAAAAAAGCACACCCCCCACACTGCCTTTCAGACCTCTTAGTACCCTCCCTCAAGTCAAAAAGATATGAGAACCATAGAGTTAAAAAAAGGTGCCCTAATACAAGATTCCTGTTATAACAAGGCGATCTGCAAAGCCCGAAGGACCTATTATTATATGAAGCTCGACTGTACATCATTCATGTCCCAATAAGAGTTTACAAGTTTCCGACCATGAAGAAAATGCTGATAAAAATCAATGACTGCAAATCTCAAAAAACAAACAAACCAAAATTGGTCTTGGTTTCGTTTTTTTCTCAACGTTAACTTTATTGATTGTCGAGAAGTACCTTGAGAAAATCTAAAATTGATGCAGGCAGTAAAGCAGTTTTATCAATCAAGGCGGGTTGGACTTAAAGTATAGCACACTTAGGGCAACGCGCAGGTAATGACTGACAGGGATTATTACATGTATTACGGACGTCCCTCTGCGTCATGTATCATTTGCCCACCAGTGGTTTCCAAACTATGGCTGGCCGGCAGTATAAATCAGGTTAGAAAATAATTAACAAAGCGTGAAACATATCTCACGTAGCTATGGAAATACTTAAAAATAAATACTGCTATACAACTAAATATCAGCACATGAAAGTATGCCCCTTCACAGATTTAATGGGGCAGATGTTCAGTTTGACAAAAGTACATGTGCATTTTAATATCCGACAGCAAGCAAGGGTGATAATTTTGGACAGTTCGGTCACTCGTACGAACACATTCAACTGAAGTAAGCAAAGCAGAGAGGTCTTAATTGGCAAATCGAACAAGTAGTTTTCTTTCCTATTTCACGAAATTCGTAAACCGAAAAAACTTGGGACGGGTTGGTGGGTAAAAAAAATTTCGTTCTGATTTTTCAGCGAAAGTAATACGGTGGAATGATTATTCATTCCATGTTGAGAAAGTTAAAAAAACAAACTCTGATACTTGAGAAGCTAAATGCATGACAATTTCACTTCGGCAACGTCTTATGTCTCAGGAGCGGAAATCATCTGTGTGGAGTACATGTACATGAACATGTAGCTGCAAACCAGTATCGATACCCAACAGTTAATCGATACATTGCAATAAACCTTAGATCCAAAACTTAATATAATAAAGTTTATGTACAGTTGAATTACGTAAAGTCCCAAGTTAGGTCGACGGGTGTGCAGAGAACACTTACGAGCTTGGTGAAGTAAAAAAATACGACCGTTTTATATTCAGCCAACGAGTGGGGTTTCGAAGTACTGAACCGGAAGGAATTTCGCGGCAAAATTTAAATTGCCATTCTTTCTTTTTTGGAGAACTAGATAAACATTTATAAAATAAAAATCACAACATTAATAACACCTGTTCTGTTTAACAAATCTTTGGAAAATATAAGTGTGGATGTCCACATTTGCAGGACTGACGCTCTGGGGAAAAAGATACAATGCAATATAATGCACATGTAAATATATTGCAAGTGGGTTGTTTTTTGTCTTGTCAGGGCTTGGCTGTTCACATCACGATGGCCTTGTCAAAGACTAGAGGCAGTCAGCTGGGTTTACAGCAACAAAGGTGGGAGGGGGGGACTGTTCATGTTCCGTCACTCGAGATGATATCTCTGGGAGTCGTGGGGTGGAGGAATCGGCGCTAACAGAGAAGAAGACAAGTCCTTGAGATGTGACTCATCTCGAACGGGAAGGTAGCCGAAATGCTCCATCATTTCAGCACAGCGTCCTATTTTTTCGATGGCCTTGGCAGTCTTAAAGTCTATTTTAGTGCGCCAGGACTGGTACGCCATGCTCGACACTCGAGTGGTGGAGTATATCCCGGGTTTTTCAGCTTTGGTATTTTCAGCGATCCACTTGGAAACGTTCTCAGGGACAGCATCGAATCCCGTGAAGTTGTAGATGAGTTGGGTGACTCGCTCCGGATCCAGGGCCATGTCCTCGTACCTGAGCAGAAAGTAATTGTTCCGGTACTCAGGGTGGTAGTAGCCTATTTCTTTATTGTCGATGCTATAGGAGCAGTACTCCATTAAGTACAATTGCATTTCATCCGTGAATGAACCCGCCTCTAGTTTGTTTCATGGTGCTATCAACAAAATTCATAGCCAGCACTCGCGAAGCAGTCATCCCACGTGGGTCTCGTACGAGGTGAACGACCTTTAATTTCACGTTGCCGTCTTGTATCAGTGGCTGAAACATCCCGATATCCCAAATGCGAATGGACTTAACCGCAATGTGTCTTTTCTCTCGACACTTTCTCTCAAACAGGTCGGCGTCAATTTTTCTGCAGGCGAGCCCCGTTCTTCCGGTTGGCCACTTGTAGCACACTAAATCGAATAGTCGGGGTACTTTTTTCTTGACTTCGAGTGGGTACTGCCTTGACAGCCATTTTATGTAAAAATTAAGCGACGATGTGTTGCAGTGGAAGATGGCACTCAACATATCCATGTAAATTGGTTGCAGAAAGAGAGCCCCTTGGGAATGAAGCTCGGTCAGTAGTGCTAGGCCGGGTTCGAAGAGATAAAAGATATCATCGTTTCGGCCAAATATTTCCCCGATGAATGACGACCCGGTCCGCATGGAAGTCAGCAAGACAACACGTGAACCAACCGCTGATCTGCCGTTGTCGATGCCTGTAGGGTCGGCGGGAAGCCCAGTTGCGCGTCGATCCTCGGCACCGCTACCACCAAACGGACTGATGGAATCGGAGCTGTGGTTGCAGGAACAAGATTTTGGTCCTGCATTGCTCGAATTCACCCGCTGGAAGTCCGTCCCCGTTGGAGTGTTACTTTCCTGCGTGGCCCCTGTCGACGGGTCTCGACTCTCCACGCCAACATTCTTCATCAGCACGCCCTTCCCTCTAGTGAAAACTAGCAAGCATACTGCTCCTACCACTGCTAGTCCAAACAACACACACCTAAGATTCCTTCCCATGGTCTTTTCTAGAGACACTGGTATATTGCGAAAGTACGCAACACGTTTAACTCTCTAAGAACAAGTGACCTTTTCTTCCTCTGGTCTGCCAGGATCTGATGTTAGAAAATGTCCATTTTGCAAGCTGTTGTGGTCTTCACTCAACGACGGGTTGTGGATTAATAAGCTTCCGTCAAAAGCGCTTTTTAATCTGCCTCCACGCTCACTGGAGTTACCTAGCCGAGTTTAATTGGGATCGCACGATGATTTTCCTTGCTCTAAGCAGGTAATACAAAGCTCTCCACGGGCCACTGCACAGCTGCCGTGGCACACCGCGTTAGGTAAAGATTGTTTGCACGCAGAAAATCCCTCTCAGTGACTCGTACAAGTCACTCCGGCGTTGATAATATTTCAACGCAACATTCCACGGCCTAAAAGCCTGTGTAATAAGACACCGGATTTTAGCCTTTCTGCCTTTTTGTATGTAACGATAAGAACGTGTGGTGATGATAGAATTCTACTTAGATCGCACATGGAATGGTTGTGTTAAATTCTGACCGACCGACAGGCAGAAGTTTATCGGCACTCGGCTTTTGGTGTCCACAGCAGTAAAACGGTGTTATGTAACACCTCAGAAACGTTTATTGGAAATGTGTACCTATGTATATAGAAGGTCTTAAGCAAAATACACATGCACACTGAAATCGGAAGTGTCGTTCCCATGTGTTAAAAAGTATTGCCTTATCGGGAACGGTAGAGTTCTTTGCTCTGTGGGTAGAGGAAGGAGAAAAGATAATAAGAACGATTGCGTTTTCCTTTTCCTAAGCCTTGCACGATAAAAAAAGAGAGAGCTATAGACTTACGATGCGGTGCGTGATTTTGGCATGGGGGATGGACTGTTCACCCACCACGTATGTTCATGCCCCACAGAGACAATGTTCATTACAAGAGCACTTCATTTTCAAGCGGACAACAATGGTTTGCCGTGCGAGTAGACGCACGGAAATTGGCAACGACAGACCTCGTAAACTACTCGAGTGTAGAAGCGTATATAAATTTCGGGAAGATCTAAACACGACACCAAGAACAACACAAAAGTTTCCGGTAAATCTCAGAACAGTATAAAAAAGTGGATTTTACGGACCTTTTCTGACAACGAAAAATTTTGCACTAATTTCATCAATTAAATTTTAATAGAAAATCAGTTTTCTAAGACAAAAATCTAGCTCCAAATTAAAGATTCACCATTAACTGAGTTTAGGCATTTATTTTGAATCCGGCAGATGAAATTTTTAATCAATTTTAATCACCCCAAAATTGTATTGATCCAACGGCGCAAGAAAATTCAAAGCCATTTTGTATCCATTTTTATCATCAAAATGGTATATTCGACGCGGTTAGATTGTACCGGTTTCATTAAGATTGATACCATTGCATAAGGTAGAATCTTTAATTTCTTTTAAGAAGAGTCTTAAAACATATTTTTTTAAGAAGTATTTTGTTTAGGTGGCGTGAATTTTAATGTGAATTTGTGTTTGCTTTTTGGATCGTGTCTGTGTACAACTCGTCGCTTTTAACACATTGTCTTTAATAAATATATGTATATTTAAATATTTATTATTTTAATTGATTGTAAAGCGCCTTAAAGCCTCAGGGAATAAGGCGCTGTATAAGTCGTCGCGTCCGCCCCAGCACATGTGCATGAACATGTACATGTTACGCGTACACTTGTAAACACGCAGCTCACGACTGCACTTGACCCGTGACTCGCCGGGACAAGAATGTTACTCCATAGTCTGCCCTTGCATTGCAGGAGTAGGGTGCAAGGGTATCCTCTTTTGTGGTCAAAAGTTTGTCAAGAAAATAATCCCTAACTCTAAGAATTATGTTTTATTAGGACATAAAAATCTGTTAGAAGAGATAATTATGTAAGGTGTTTTTCGATTACAAAATGTCTGGATTCACAAATTCAAACTTATTAAAAATATTATCCTGCGGATTCCCAGTTTCTGAGTGCAATCTATTAAGACAGTCTTCTAGTTTATATGAATCTAGATTTTATAATCAGGAAAACACATTTTTAATAGATATTAATCAAATTTGGCAACACTCAATTTTTTCAGGTGACAAATAACATAATTTTTGAGTTATTTAAAACCCATTTTTCATTACTTTTTTGAGGCAGGGCACAAAATCAATGCTACTGAAAAAAAGATAAACGTTACATGGGTTTGTCATGAAAAATTTCATTAGTTATGTTCCATTTCCTGGAAATCCATTAACAAAGATGACGCCTCATTTTACAATCAGAGCGCGCGGAATCAGACATAGCCTGTTGCAGATTTTGCGCACGCGCACTTTGGTAATGAGCGCCATGAACATAGTTTACAAGCGACGAAAAGTGCAGCATACGCACGAAATGCCGACCTTTCAAAACCCCTCTCCCTTGTACGCATGCGCAGCGGCTCCAACCCGCCCCCCTGTACGCACTTTACATATCTTGACTTTTCAGGGTACCTTGCTTTAGTATCATTAAATGTCACACAGTGCGTTTGTAGTAAATTCTCGTTACTAACAAACTGTTTCCTTTAAAATGAATGCATGAAAACAAATTTATACTAAATTTATACCAAAAATCCATGAGCACTGGACCTTAATGTTTGCATCACTTCTGAAAGAATTGAAATGGAAAATAAAGAAATTATAACAAGTATAATTTCTCCACAAATGCACTAGGCTCAATGAAACGTATTGAAAATGGGATATCATGGATTAGTCAAATTGCTAAAGAGCATCTCTTTATGCAGTCTTGGGCAAACTGGTTGACGAATATGATAATTTGCCACCTCGACACAGTGCGTCCTCTCGGTCCTAAAGAGACCAAAGGTCTACTTTTTTTGAAAAGGCTTACCTACTTTTTTCACTGATGGGGATAAAGCAAATAATTTACGGCATCAAAGTTTGGTCACTTGTTGTCGTACCGACATCTGGTCAGGCCCTTGGACAATACAGGTCGTTTGTACAGTGAGAAAATTAACGAAGCAGCATTGATTTTTAAAATTACTTCCGTCCATTTTGAATGGGCCGCCTTAACGCGCGTACCATGGGCACGTTCGATATATCTGTCCATTAAGTGTAATTAATGCAAGGACATATCCAATACTTGTGACTCTGCCGGCAAAAAAGGGAGGGCGGTGCTGGGAGCTTTGGCCCCTCCTCCAAAAATCCTTTTGCGTATCCCTCAATGCAAAAGTGTAAAATGATAATAATTATAATACTTACATAAAATAAATAAAGCTGTGAAATTTTGGATTAACAATTCTGCATTTAATTTCTTGTCAAGGTGGGGAGGGTCTAACTCCTAAAATCTAGAACCGCATCCCACATGAAAGCTACATTATGTAAATAAATTTAACTAAAACTAGACGGTGTAGGAGGGGATTGCTGTACATGTATATGAAGCTGAAATTTGGCTTAAACATGCACATTGCGAGAATTGATATGGACATATGCAAATTTTTCAACAGTTTAAATACCCCTTGACATCTAAGGGCGCTGATGCTGTGCTAAAAAACGATGTTTTTTCCCGAAATTTATTTTCGTGCAGAAAATGTTTATTCATAAAATGCAATTGCTGACTGTCTGTCCCGTACTGGATCAACGATGCACAAACCCCCACACTAGTAAAATATGACACTGTTGAAAACCCGACAAATCTGAGGCAGTGGGCGAGAGGAATACCAGAGTGGGTATTTTACTCATGGGTATCTTCAATGTTGGCAGGGCGCCCAATCGGTATGGTATAGATCTGCCTTTTATTGGCAAACACTGAGTGTATTTTGTATTGGCGGCCAAAGATTACTCAACTTCACTCCTTGTTTGGCAGCAACTCTTGTCTCATAAGGCACACTTTGCTACGTCAGTGTTAAATGGGGTGTATTTTCATGATTTAGTAAAAGCATTTACAGTTTAGTGCGGCAATGTTTACTTGTATGACTTATGTCTTTCTTTTGCACTCATAGCAACCCAAAGCTTTGCCAACCACTGATTGGCAGAAACTGCGCTAACTACAAGAAATGCTGGGTAAACGAGAGCTGGGCAAATACATTTCAACATTTTTGGGGCACTTTCTCCTAAACAAATGGTCACATTTCTCAGTTGGGCCAAACAATAAATTGCCGATGGTAACTGTTTTTATTATTTTACATTGGCTGAATAAACGTTTGAACGTAAAATAAAAGAAATGTAAAATATCGTTGAACAACATTGGTTAAGAGAAGATTTCATACACTTGGCCAACTGTTGTCGTTTTACAGGGTATTTATTTTACGGGTTGACAAAATCACTAAAATGTTGAACAAATGAAGGTATTTCTATAGTTGTTGGAAACTTAGATGTTGCATTTTGCTCATTGATAAAGCAATGCATATTGTTACTTATATCTGCTCGTCACACTACGTTGGACATGTCGTGAAGGATTTGCTGAAAGAGAAGTGTTAGAGCTGTGTGTAACTTTTAAGGGTGAGAAAACAGTTTTCGTAATCCCCACATAGAATGATCAAGGCGCGGCATTGTGTTTTTTCGTTGTTGGCACTGCCACGCATGACACTGTTTCATAATAGCGACTTGCACATGCACAAGCTTGCATGTCTAAGATACGAGCTAATAGTCTACCCAATACAGGAGGAAAGTAAATGTTTGATAAATGATTGAAAATATGTTTAGCCTAAAACAAGTTTTACTACAAGTATTACATGCAGACCTAGTTGTTACCGTAGTTTTATCATAAAAATCTACATGTACCTTTTTTTGTGTTGATTGTGTTATTGAAATGAAATCAAAAGTACTTTTGATCCTCGTGATTCGAACCTATTAAATAGAAATACGATCCTCATTTATTCCGTGCTTTCCTTGCTTTGAATTTTCTTGTTCTTGGGATATTATACCTATGCTAAAAAAGGTCCTTCATCGAGAAACCCGCCAGGCCCTACGTGGTAGCACAGTTGTAATGACTCGAGTCCATGACTCGACTCAAGTCCGACTCAAGTCGCATTTTTGGGTGACTGGACTCGACTCGAGTCTCTGCTGTAAAATGACTCCACTCGACTCGAGTCACAAAAATCAGTGACCCGTTACAACTCTGCGTGGTAGTCCTTCCCAAGAAGCCAATTCTGGAGTCAACATATATGTTTGCCATCTAAGAGAAACAGGCTTTGCAACAGATTTCCCCGATGAAGGCCGTCCAAGCGTGTTATAAGGCCCACTACGTCTTTGACTCGACTTTATATCAAGCAAAGTGCTCCAATGAGGCACACAAAAAGCCCTACTAAGTTGAGAACCTCTACAGGATTATCTTTACTTGCAAGAATATACGTCAACAGCTTCATCATCATGCAAATGTGTTTAAAGCTTACCACCATTTGTCGTAGTTTATAACCAAACTTCTGCGAATTTTTGGACATGATTGGATTGGAGCACCTGCATGTTTCCATTGAAACTAAAAGTAACTTCTGAAAAATGGAGATAAATAGTGATTGGGTTTGCAAGGGTTCCACTTTTTTGAATTATATTTGTTGGGAAAATAGGATCTCTTTGACAATATTCACAAACAGCTTATGGGTCTCTGAGGTGAAAACCAAGTTTACTTTTATCTGGCCGAAAAATTGTGTCATTAATCGTTTTACCTATGTTTTTTTGCATCAAGGGATTCTTGCCAACGCATCAGATCAATCAAAGCATGCACGTGAGCATGAGTCAACATAGCACAAATTTTGGAATTATTCCCTTGACTTTTTCCTTACTATTTAAATAAAACAAGTCATCAATATGTGGAAGTTTCAGATGCTCAAAAAAAGCTTTGCACTTTTCATTTTAATCATATCTGATAATCGTTTAAAATTAGCGCACAGAAGAAATGTAGGCCCATTTTATGTTTTCCACAACAACATTGTTGGCATATTTAGACTTATCCTTGCATTAATGAACTGGCGTAATTTCAATGTTTCTTGGGGGAAAAGGACTGTCTTGTGGTTACTCCCTCTTTGATTTTGAAATAGATGGGTCCATGATAGCTGATACTACGCGAAACTCATTGAGAGTGATCATAACACATTATTTGCGTAACATGTTTTACTTTAAGTAAGCCAGTAAGGCTGCATGGAATCTGACAAAGGTTAAACGAATTGTAAAGTCTTATTCATTTAAAATGAACCTATGCCCATCATCGGGATCTTATGAATACCCAACAGTTGCCCAAAAAGTACCCAACACATTGTCTAATGATATCATCCAGTATTGGCTTACCAATAACAGTTTGTTTATACATACCCAAGTGACGGTTCATTAACAGTACCCAACTGTTCAGTCTCCAATCTTACCCACATTTTGGGTGAAGATGCTTGCCCAACTTGGCAGTGTTTTACACGAAGTAACAAGTTGTAAAATTTATACCTTGTAACTACATGAAAATACCTTGTTACTACATGAAAAGCACTGCAAAAAATTGACATAATTTTGATGATGAAAGCCACGCCCACCTTCTCTGCATAAATATCATCTTTCATCACTGATGATTCAAACTTCCGAATGTCGAACATTTCTTGTCTATTCCATGCAACACATTTGCCAGCCCTAAGACCTATAGTTATCGTTGTACGATACCTGGCGTGACCGCACTCACACAGATGCCAACGATCCCGATACACTGCCTAGGTACATGTAACATCATATCCTAAAACTACTCTTCTTCTTTCCATCTACCCTTTCTTGACTAAGACTAACGGACCTGTGCTGTAGTCTCTACAACCATTCAACCCCAGACTTCCAGGCAGAGAGGAAATCGATGGCTTTAGACTAAAATACATATATACATGTATTTACACTAAGATGAAAAATACGTCTATCAAGCTGTACAGTTTCAAGTGACTTCGTGTAGAATGTTCAAAAACCTAGTGTGAAAATCCGTAGCAATAATAGCACCGACAGTTTTTTTATAAGGAGGAATCGGCTTTCAGATTTGAGAAGCTCGACGCGTGACAGTTGTGTCGATACCACATATATATATTAATTTAATTTACCAGAGTGCTAACTTCTCAGTGAAACGCTCATTTGCTGATAGCAAATGAAATGTTTAGTGAGTATACGAGTTTGACATTAAAATATGAACTAAAAAAATACAACCGTTTTCCATCATCAGCCAAAGAGTGAGGTTTGAAGCATGGAACTGGATGTAATTTTGCTGCAAAACTTAACTTACCATTCTTTCTTTTTGGTATATAAGATAAACATTTATAAAATAAAAATCACAACATTAAAAAAACCTGTTCTGTATAACGAATCTTTGGAAAATATAAGTGTGGATGTCCACATTTGCAGGACTGACGCTCTGGGAGAAAAAATAATAATACAATGCACATGCATGTAAATATATTGCAAATGGGTTATTTTTTGTCTTGTCTGGGCTTGGCTGTCCACATCACGATGCCCTTGTCAAAGACTAGAGGCAGTCAGAGCAAGGGTGGGAGGGGGGACTGTTCCTTCACTCGAGATGATATCTCTGGGAGTCGTGGGGTGGAGGAATCGGCGCTACCAGAGAAGAAGACAAGTCCTTGAGATGTGACTCATCTCGAACGGGGAGGTAGCCGAAATGCTCCATCATTTCAGCACAGCGTCCTATATTTTCGATGGCCTTGGCAGTCTTAAAGTCTAATTTAGTGCGCCAGGACTGGTACGCCATGCTTGACACTCGG